GCCACGTGGGGGCTCCCCCCGTTCCTCCCGCCGAGAGCCCCGGAGCGCTGCACGCGCTTGCGAGGAGCTAAGATGCGACGAAAGCGAATTGCTTTCTGACGTCACCGTGAGCTGGCGCGCGGGCGGAAGCACCGCAGGGCAGCGGGCACGTGCTGCGGCGCGGAGAAGGCACCGCACCGCGGCCGGAGAGCGGCAGTCCTGCCCCAGCAAAGATCTCCTTGGACAACTCTCACGGCATAGGGAGGAAAAACAAACAAACAAAAAAAGCGCCTTACCTGAGGGGATACTGGCCTTACAGCGTCCTCCGAGTCAGAGCTGTAAGCAGGCAAATAAAACATGCATGGATTTGCTACTGCCTTTCTGAAAACCTACGGGAGCGAGCCTCGACTCCTAAAAAGATCAATTAAAGAGATCAAAATTAAGACCAGCCTTGGAGATGTTGCATTGCAGACACTTCCAAGTAGAGGAGCTAAAGAAACCACGGAGACCTTAATATCTCTGCAGCCAACGGGGCTTTCAGTAGATTCACTGCTTCTTCGGTTACAGAAATGCCAGAAGGGGTAAAGCTGAGGAGGAGGAGAATTAGCAACCCAGCAAATACTCTTACAGAAAACTGCCATTTAACGGCCTCTTTTCGAAAAGATTCTCCAATATTTCACCATACGCAAACAGACTCTACAAGCGGAAAGGGACCTGTGCTGCCCGTTAAGATGCTGCTTGATTGGCAGCGTTCATACTAAGATACCTAAGGAGGACAAAAAAAAAAAACACAAAAAAACCCTCCTCCGTCCCTTCCACTGCCTACTCCCTTGAAATACGGGAAAAAGATTGAAAAAAGAAAAATCTCTCAGTCTTTGTAAAATAAAGGCATCACGTAGGGAATGCAGAGGGGTGTTCTTGCCACTACCCGCTTAGCCCTTGCACCCAGGCTGATAGTCAGAAAAGTCAATTCTCTCATTGCCAAAACAAGCGAGCGTGAGCCGGAAAAGCTTTATGCAGAAACGCAAACCGCAGAGCAAAGACAGGGAAAGGGAGCTAGATCGAGCGGTCCGAACAGCGACCAGGAATCCAGCTCACAGCGCTGCCACTGATTTAACGTGGCTTCAGCCAAGTCACAGCCGCTCTCACCTTTGGGATTCCCAGCTGCAGAGAGGTAACGTTGGTTACCTCTTCCACAGGAGCATTACCAGCCTTCAGCTGTCAGCATCCAGAGCGGGTGTCGAGATCCTTGAATCTCATTTTGGGCTAGCCCTCCGTCTACCAAGACTGCAGGATAGCTTGCGCTGGATATTTAAAACCGTGAAACGTCAGTAACAGCTGCACTTGGGTTGGCAGCACAGGACCTCAGTAGCTTTCCCCAGCTCAGCACTGTGCTGTGTTTTTACCTTCTACCTTATCGCATTGCTTTCACTCTCTATCATTATGGTAAAACAGTAACTACTGGTCTCCGATTCAAAAAGAACCTGAACTTTTTTTTCTTAAAATAAAATCTTTCCTTAAAAATACACAAATACTGCCTCGAAAACTCATTTTCTGCATTACCTTGTCTTGTAAAAGAGGAGCTGCGTGGTTCAATTTGTAAACAAGGTGTAGTATAAAAGACATAGCTTGGCCTTATTTCCTCTTCTGGAGTGCTGTGGTTTGAGTCGCATCTACAGAATCTCTCCGTTTTTTTTGGACTGGCTTTAGAGATGCCAAGAGGTTTCTCCCATACACTGCTGATATGCTGGTTCCAAACTTTATGCAGCTCCAGGCAGTAAGTTTAACCTAACTGGATCTGAGGACACGGGGTGAACTTTCAAAATTAGAAAAAAATGCAGCATTGTAAGTACAATTAGAAAAAGCACTGTGAACAAAATAAAAGCCAAACCAATTAAGGTGTTTTTCCTTTTGGAAAAGAAGCATTTTAATGGGTTTAAAAAGATTTCTGTACAAAAACTGCGCAATGACTGATATTTGCCTTCCCATGGTGACAATAGTTCTGACTACTGTCTTGCTCAGCAGCAACTCCCACAGGTCTCATAACAAGGACTATCTCTTTGGCCAGTGGTGCCTGGAGCCCCTGCAAAAGACAGTTACAGAAAGACTTTTAACTCTCACTCCAAATTCACTCGACATTAAAAACCTGTGATAGGTTACAATGATTCCATTAAGAAAGAGTCACGATGCAGAGAGTCACGATGCAGAACCTCCCTCCCACCAACGCAGCCCTTAAGTAATGTTGCTCTTTTATGACTAAATAATTCACAAGAATCACGCCTAGAAAGCTGCAAACTGAGTATATTCAGAATGCAAATGTTCTTTTTGCCAAAACCGTCTTCCTCCCAAGCTACGCCATGTTCTCCCCACCTCTACCTATCTTTGTGGCCAAAGAAAGTGACTCCCACATCTCGGAATCCAAGCTTTTACCTCGGATTTCAAGCTTTCCACCAAGAATTGCCTTTGATTATATTAATCCTGACTAAGCTTTTTTGTTTTGTTTTTTTTTTGGTTCCTGTAAGCTGACATCTGGCTGTGGAGCGTTATGCAACCTCTTCACGTTAAACGTGCGCTTAAGCTCCCGCAGCAATAAAGTACAATTGCAGCGCACTGCCCATGGCTCCAGGGCACGTGAGTGAAAACGCTCCATCGCAGTGCCGAGAGGAGGCTGACAACACACCTATCAGCTTTCCCCGCCAGGTAGGACATGCTTCGGTTTCCAGCCGATTGTTGAAGTTTGTTAGCTCCAGCAAATTTCTGCATGAAAGAAAAAAAAAAAATCACAACAGTGAGGTTGCTGCCAAATACAATATATTCCACGTGACGTGCGTCCCGTCGGATCCCTCCTACTTTAAGGAGCGCTGCTCGTTTATATGGTGAGCTTTATGTTCCGAGGATGTTCTTCGTGTGCCCTTGCATTGAATGCACCTCAAGGAGAAATTCTGTTCTACTGGGCTAACTTACAATCTATGAGCCATGATATGCCACTGACAACAAATCTCAGCCGTTTAGACAGAGGGATCAGTACAGGTTCAAAACCTTGCTCCCCCAAATTCACCATTAGGTTGCTTTTCTCTTCTGAAACGAGTTTCCACTGACACAGTGAAGGCAACGCGCAGAAAGCTGCGCTTCCCACAGTATCAGGCATAAACTTGTTCAGCTTCTAAAATATCCTTT